CTTTTTCAAGGGGAGAAAGTCCTCCTTGGTATGCACACACACCGGCTGAGCAGATTACTTTTGGTCGAGCTGATTTATGACCTTGCCCCTCTCGGTCAAACCTCATGGGCCAGCGATTCATCACCGCCGCGACAATGGCGAGCAGACAAGTCTCTGAAGGAGCTGGCTCGCTCCAGGAAGAAATAACTCACTTATCTGGTGCTGACATTGTCGTGCACGTGATTAGGCAGAGAAAATATGACCGAGGCAAACAAAAAAGCTATTCATTACACGTAACCTGGTTACTTCCAAAAAGGGGACTTTTATCAAGGTAGATGGCACACCCTCAGGGCCCATATACAGCTATCAGAGCACTTCCTTGAGTTGTGTGGGAGTTTATTAATCCTTTTGTTGCACCGCTACCTCTTTATGGCACCAATGAGCAGATTGGATCTATGGGTATGACACAGTCGAATGCAGGAAATGCCCGTACAAGGAGCAGAGGAAGTGAGGAATGAAGAAAGGGCCGCCTGGTAGGAGTAGATAAGAAGCTCGGTGGAGATCTTTGAACTCTGAACCCAACCCATCTTTGAACGCCGTGACCTCAGTGCCTGAGTCAGACGGGGAAGCACAGAGGAAACTGGGAACACTGAGGAGAAACTGATGCAGTGAAACAGACACACCTTTCAGAGCTGAAGAAGAAAGAAGGAAATCAAGAGCAGCAGACTTGAGATGAGAAACGTCCCTGTGAGAGCAGAATGATGAAAGGCAGGACAAGCCTTCTCTCTTTGTGTGGCCGGGAGCTCCAGGGAACGACCCGTTTACAGACTGATGTTAATGAATGTGGGGAATTAAAACGGGTTGCTCGTTCTCTGTTTTTAAAAACTGAAAATTGGTCTTCTTTTGGTTTGTGTTTTTTCTTTTTCTAGGTTTTTTTCTTCAAAACAAAACAAAAATAAGGAAAAATGTTGGTTGGTTTTTTGTTTTTAAAAACAGAAAATGTATCTTTTTTGTTTTCAGAACCTAAAAAAACTGATAGTTCTTTCATTTTCTCTTTAACGTGGAAAATTGTTTTTGTTTCAAAACAAAAAAGGATAAGGTGCCTTTTTTTTCTATAGTTATTTTTTCACAAAAAACAGAAAATATTTCTTTTTTTTGTTTTAAGAACAAAAAACGGGTCATTTTTCATTTCCTGTTTATGATTTTCTGGTCTTTTTTGGTTTTCTATTTTTATTTTAAAAACAAAAAAAGATAGTATAATCTTTCCTTCTTAGTTTTTGGGAAAAAAACTGGCTGTTTATTAATTTCCTGTTTATTTTTAACAACAGAAAAAATAAAGTATAAAAGTATAGATTTTTGTCTTTTTTTTATTTTCAAAACAAAAATCAGAAAACAGCTTGTTTCCAGATTTTAGTTTTCTCATTTCAAAACAAAAAATCTGTTGGCCACAAAGTCCGCTGACCCTCCAGGCCATCTGTCCCACGTGGTGCCAACACGGAGGCCTTGAAGAAGTCGGGGTGGGTGGTGGGAAGCTGTGCAGCTCACCCTCCCGATAGGGTCACCCAAGGACAAGGCCGCAGCATCAAACCAAACAGCCAGAGAGGCAGACAGTGCCAAACCTCAGTGTGCCTTTATATACCAGAGCCCCAACACCACATGAAGAGAAAATAACCAGTCGCCAATCTGGATTTGCACTGCGGGGTTGGCATGCAAACCCGAGGACAGACGCATACATGCATGACATCTACGCACACATGGTCGAGGACGTGCAGGAACCTTTCTCTGCGGGGGGGGCTTTAGAGTAATATGAGAGGGGATTATCAGTTCAGGAAGCCAGCAGCAGTCTCCGTAATCATTCAGCAAACGCCTATCTCACATGCATGTTTGCACTTGACAGCAAGAAAATAGCTGTTTTTCCCCCTTCGGCTCCATCGGCTCGTAGCACATTACACCGCATGCAGCGTGAGTCAACGCCCTGGACCTGTCATCAATACTGCTCCACTAAGACGAGCAGTAGTAAACAACACTGAGGCTGGTGTTTTTAAAGAAAAAAGGTCAGGGTTTGGATTTCACGTCAACAAAAATGATCCCCACAAATACTATGACGCAGTGTTGTTAGTTTCAGAGTGCAAAAAACAAAACAGATGAAGGTAAAACAGTAAAAAAAATTATTTTTTGTGTTAATAAGTTCAAGAGTTTGGATGAAATATTGTACTTTAAAAGACAAAATGGTCAAAAAAGGGTACGAAGCTCTGTGTGTTGGAGAAAAACTTTTATATTTATATATATATATTTATATTTACTGTTATATTTAAAGTTGAGTAATGAATATTAAACTCGAAGAAAGACAACGGACTAAAACGAGCCAGTTTCCCACAAAACATAGTTGTTAGCTTCTGCTCACTGTTAGCAGTGAATGCAATCAGCCTCCTTATGATTGTATGTATGTGTACATATCTTTAACTTTTTACCAAAAAGCTAAATTAAGTTTCACGTCCCTCCAAGCCTTTCGGAGGTGCTCCACCTACCTAACAATGCCAACCCTGGACGCCCAAAAATAACCTCCTTCAGCTTCCACTGTGTGAACCAAGTCACTAAACTGACTTCTGTCCAACAGCGAGACGTCACTGGAAAACAACAGAGCCTTGTCTGGACTCCTGCAATACGCCGACACACAGACGAAGGAGTGTAACACATAGTTTAAAATAAATAAATCTCTCTACTTAACAGACAGGAACAACCGCTGAAAACTGCTTTGATAACCACAGATTGGAGGGGAAAGACTTTAATTTAATCTCTCCAATAACATGATTACTGCACATAACACACTCTCATTAGAGGCACATTTAATTTTCCATGTTATCACAAAAGCCTTTTTTTGTTTTGTTTTTTAATACCATTGCTCAGTTTTAAGGCTTGAGGCGTGTTAGTGGAAAAGAGAGGTGTTTGGTTGACTGAGCTGCAGTGTGCAAGGTTGATTGACAGGTCTCTGCTCTCAGCCCCCTGGCTCCGACGGACTCTATCACACAGCGAATCACACAAAGTCCTCTAAGCCGTCGGCGCCTGCTGCCTATTTTACCTACTAAAATGCACTCCTTAGCTCATTTATATGATGGCTGGAGCTGATTTGTTTGGGGGGGGGAAACACCCTTGGGGAAGTGAAAAGCTCATCCAGCATGTAATTACTACCCGTCTCCTGGAGGGATGATCTGGTCTGAGGTGCTAGAACTGGTTAAATGGTTGAATAAACAGGGAAATTCTTCCTCCCTGTTTAAGCAACACACCTGTCAGTGACTTCCATTTGTAATGAAGGATCACACAACGGTAGCACGGAGGGGTCAATGTCAGCAAGCCAGCTCCGTAATGTCAGTTATAAAGCAATACCTGGCTTAATTTATCTACCAGCAGCTACCAAAGTGACAGGAATTACTGATGTTAGTCAACACATCAGCTAACAATTGGTAACATCTAGTCACTTTTTGTAATGTTAGCCAACACAACAGATTGATCAGATCTGATTTCTATGTGACAATATATTAATATTATACCTCGATAATCTATTTTCTTTATGTATAATACTTTTCATTTAATTTCTAAATTGTTAAATTTCAAGTTTCTTCAGGCATCTGATGCTGATTATACATATTTCAGTCTTTGTATTTCTATGTTTGGTTAAATATGTTCACATAAAGAAGTCAGACTATGTCGGTGAGCCTGCACATTACAGGAAACATTTATTCTTGTTGTTCCTCTGTGTTGTAAATGAATAAAAATTCAATAAAGATGATTCCTCTGCATATGTATCAGAACAAAATGTGGCTCACTGGGCAGCTGGTTGTTTCTGTGTGCAATAACAGGCTGTATTTTCTTTAAATGATATACCATCCAGCCAATAACACAATATATATAGGGCTGCTTGGAGGATTGTATATATAGCTATATGGTAAAGGACCATGCCAGGTGTAATGAGTTTGCCAGCAACCCTGTGTACAGCATTTAAATACAGAAACAAAAAAATGACTTTCAGGCAGCTGGGCTCGACCAAAATCCAAAAAAACAGCTCTGTGCTGTTTGCTTTTCCACAAGTTTTTTCCCATATTCACTGCCCTTCTGTGGCTTAGACTGGCTCTGCTACACACACTGTGCCAATGGACAAGAAAAGCCAAATGGGAGCTCTGCACAAAAACACTACCCTGCACTGTGGTGAGCGCCAGGCCCGGCACACCCTGTCCACATTTCACATCGCAGACCCACAATATCTCCTGCTTTCTGTATGTGTGTGTGTGTGTGTGTGTGTGTGTGTGTGTGTGTGTGTGTGTGTGTGCAGTCTCACTGATGAGAGTCGTGGCAGATTGGCAGGATAACAGGTCACGGTGTAAATGCATAAATGTCATGTCCTGTCACATCTAATACCCCGGCGCTCGCCAGCAGAAGCCACACCCACCACGACGTTATGTTTTAAATCCGCTCTGATCCTGAGGAACCAACTCCAGAGGTCAGAGAACAGACCAGTCTCCAACTCTACCATTATATATGATAAATATTACAGCAAGTATGTATGCCATTACTTTAGGACTATCATCATCAAAGAATCAGTGGATTAATTGTCTTTTATTAAGCAAAAATGCTAAATCTTGTCTGGTTCCAGCCTTTCAAATATGAGGATTTTATGTTTTACGTCACTATAAACTGAATATTGTTACGTTTTGGACAAAACAACCGATTGTAAGACGTCACTGTGGCTGTTCCAGGTATTCTTTATTTTATTTAATGACGAATAATGTGCCGCAGGTGTTCATTCCAACCTCGGCGGGTGGTTTCACTGATGAGTTCCCCCCCTCTGCTTGAAGGAACGCTAATCAGTGAAATCAGCTGGTCCAGCCTTGTTGGCGCTCCATGGTGGCGTGATTGGATTAAATGATTAATCATAAAGTAATTGACAGATTCACTGATAATGGAAAAACGCATTAGTTGCAGCTCTAGGGTAACGTCTCCTCTCTTGCTCTCTCTCGCTGTCTCACCTTGCTCTGGGTGTTATCGGCAGCTAGAGTACTCCTCGGAGGGACTTGGTAGACGTCTTGTCCGGGAGGAACCTGGTAGATGCTCTGCTGACTCTGCTGTGGACTCTGGAGGGACGGTGGCACCTGGTAGATCCCCTCAGACCCCGAGCCAGGCTTCTGCTGATAGGCCGCGCTCTGAGGAGACGACCGGCCGGCGGCGGCAGCGACCGGCGACTGAGCCTCGAACATGGGTCCAATCAGCAGCTTCAGTCGGTTGCCAGGGGCGATGCCTTGGCGGCCGTGCAGGGAGCAGAGCCACCAGCCCTCCAGGCCCCCCGTGTTCTGCTCAATGACGGTCAGGATGTCCCCTTTACGGAAGGCCAACTCCTCGGGGGACTCCGGCACATTGTCGTACAACGCTTTGGCCATCAGGTTCTGCAGAAAGAAAGAGCGGATTTTATTTAAAACTATATTATCTTTATTTTTAAAAAAAAACAAAAAAAAACAGTGTTTACCTTCTGTCACATAATGTCAGGTTTTAGTAAATTAAATGAAATGGAAAGGGAATAGTTTGCCATTTTGAGAAATCCACCTATTTCTTTCTTGTTAAGAAGAATTAGAAAAGATTGATACCACTCTCGTGTCTCTACTTTAAACTGGAAGCTACAGCCAGCAGCCAGTTAGCTTAGCTTAGCGTAAAGACTGGGAACAGAGGGAAACAGCTAGCAAGCCAGTTTCTAGCACCACCAAAAGGTCACTAATTGACACATTATATCTTCTTTGTTTAATCCGGACCAAAAAGCGTTAAAAAGTTGGTTTCATGGGGGGTGTCCTGGAGTCCCTGTGGGTTGCCTGGCAACCTCACTTTGATGACAAGACTTCAGGAAGTCACTGCTCCCCGTCAGGAAGTAGTTTGCTTCAAAACCCTCTGAAAACGAGTGGTTTTTACATAAACAAACAAGACATGAGACGTTAATAACTGAGCTTCAGAAGTGGGATTTTTGTTAGCTTTGCACAGAATCAAGCTAGTTGTTTGCTCTGTTCCCAGTCTTTATGCTAAGCTAAGCTAATAATTTGTTGTCTGTAGCTTTGTATCTAACATACAGACACAAGAGTGCTTTCAATCTCCACCGCGATTCCTGAAATGTGGAACTATTCCTTTAATACACATGAGTTTACAGTTATTTAAAACACTTCTCTGGCAGTTTTAAAATGCTTCGGTGAATGACATGCTGGTGAACTTCTTACTGCTCTTCAGATTACCATGCAGGGTTGCATTAGCCCCCAGCTCCACACACCAGATGTCTTTCAAACAAATCTGAACTTGATGGGATTTTCTCAGCTTGCGCCCTGCTCCAGGGCACAGTTATCTAAAGGGCCAGTGAGGACTGAGGGATAATGACTCAAAACCACAGATTTTGTAGATAGGAAAAGCCCCAGAGTGTGCCACTTCTGTGTCTAAGAGAGGCATTTAGGACTAATTGCCACAGTAAATGCATCAATCTTTTTCCTTTTGCCTTTATTCATCCAGAGAAGGAGTTAACTGAGCATGAATACTCCCTTTTCAGCTGCATTATACTCACATAATAACAAAGTTTAACTCCTGGGAGCTGCCCTGCACAACAGCAGTCCTGTACTTTAAGCTATGTAAGCTCCATAAACACAATTAGGGATTAAACGCCTTGCTCAAGGGCACTTTAACGTCAGATACTGAGGGAGAGGAGACTGTTTGTTGTTCAGTTTTTCTGTGTTTCATGCGAACAAACCCTACTTCGTTTTATTTCTGCAGCACCACAACCCAGTCACATGGGACTTGTAAAGACAGTAAAAAACAAGAAACATATTTTTTTTGTTCAGGGTTCTTGCCTCAGCTTCAGCAATAAAACAGCAAAAAAATATCTTACAATGAAGATGAGACTACGAAGGGAAAGCAGGATTGAAACCACACCGCTGCTGACTTTAAATGTTCATAAACTCTTGTCTTGCAGCATAGTGAGCTGGATTAAACCCACTCGTAACAGATGAGCTGAGCTGAGTTGAGGATAGAATAGGATTTCTAATCGGACTAAAAAGCTACACGCACATTTGGAGTGAGGATTATCAGAAACATGCGAACCAGAAACTGCATCGAAATACAGCTTCTCAAAAGGAAAAGTGTGACTTCACTTATCTTTCTAGTACCTCTTTAGGTTGACGTTATTAAGGCCTCACCCTCCAGTAGCTCAGTGTGGGAATCAGGAAGCCCACTTTGTGGCTGCTGCTGGTTTGAGGTTGTCTTGAACCCTCTGTGGCCTTCCCCTTTCCCAGTTCCCATGTGAAACTACCTCTGCCAGTGACATCGTTATCTCTCGCTGTGGGCCTGGCCTCCCTGGCTATTGTCTGTGTGCGCTGTCAGGGCTGTTAGCCAGCAACACCCGTCGCACAATTACACCCTCACAATCACCCCCCGCCACCAGCTGAAGCTGCAACAAGTTCGATTGTGACCCCCGGAGGTCAACGTCGCCCAATGGGAGCGGATCCTTGATGTCTGCTCATTGCGGTAACTTGATCGAGGCTGGCAGAGGCATCCATGAGGAAACAAAATGCTGAGTACAGTGATTACAACTGCTGCTCCAATTAGGGTTTGAATATGAGGGACAAGTTTCCATATTCGTATCCTGAACTCTCTTTCTCTGCAAGGTCAGATTCATCAAACTTTCTGCGCAAATGTATCGTAAATTGCTAATTTTCTCTCATGAATGTCGCCTGTTCATGAGTACAATCTACACCCACATAAAAGGTGCCTGTGGAAACTTTTATTCTAGAAAAATGTTACAGAGGAGTCAAACAAAATAATAATTTTAGCCTTTAGCGGTGACGTTATAGGATCCGAAACAATTACACGATATAAATAGTACAACTTCCAGTGAGGTGTGATGAGCGAATGCTGTAATGTGACAGAAATATAGAAATGTGTGAGACCCTGAAGGGACGAGAGATATTAATACAAACACACAGGAAATTATGTTATTGTCGGGGTGCTACAGAGGATGAAACTGAACAGAGACCTGCAGAAAGACAGAAGCTGCTGTGCTGAATTTCAAATACTTCTAAATCCCTCGTAGTTGCCTCTTTAAAGGACCAGTGTGTAAGATTTAGTGGCATCTAGTGGTGAAAACTGCAACCATTTGAATACAGCTCAGCCTTTCAAGAGTGTAGGAAAAACTACTACGCTCCCTCTGCAGATAAAAACTGCTCAGTCTAAGGTAACAAAAACACAATCATTCTTATTTTCAGGTGATTACACACTAATGAAAACACACTTTCTGCCAACAGATCCTCCTAAATGTTTCACACTGGACCTTTAAGAGAAGATCTGTTCATATGAGTTCATGCACGAGGCCCGTTTGCCCGGCTGCTGTTTACTGCTTTGTGTTTGATGCTCGGAGGGGAAATTAAATCACCTCAGAGACACAAGAACAGCACGTATAACAGTGTCACCGCTCCTTTGTCTCTGCTGATTACGGTGATAACCATAACCAGCTGCCAAATCAATAATGCCAGTTTCACCAACCACGTGTGCACACACTCACAAACCAAAGTGTGCACGCAATTGAAAAAGGTACTGAAAGCCAGCTCTGCAGAGACACAACCTGGTGGAGGAATAAAGTGTGAGAAAGACTGTGACCTAGCATCCGTCCTCTAAACCACACTGAGGTGCTCACATCTGCTAAACATCTCACAGCTCGGCAGGACGGTCGCTCAAACATATTCACACTTTCATGAAGCCCTCAACTCAAAACAACAGACGCCTCACGTTGTTATATCATTGAGTTTATGAGAGCTGCTCTCAAACATGACAACATACACATCTGAACTAATGAGCTACAGGAACTGATGCATTACTTCTGTTTCTGTACACTTATTATCATAAAATATCATATATAATATAAAGAATATCTTTAATTCAATATGACAACAAATGTGCAGCATTGTGTTTTCTGTAACAGGGTTGCAGTGCGTTGAGCCTTTAGGGCCACCGTACAAATTAGTCTCTTTAAACGTACTACAAGGAGTTTTTAACTGGTTATATGACCTACATAAACAAACCAGAACACCAGCAAGATGTTTGGTTATTTCTTAATATCTGCCAATGGGTTGGATTCCCATTGAAATCAATGGAACAGGTGGAAACACTATAGCTTCTGTCCAACTTACACGTTTCTGTTACTGGACTTTTTTTTTTAAATGTTTAGTGCAATAATGATAATTTATGGTCATTTTTGTATGTTTAAATCAAGAGTGAAAGTCTAGTTTGTGGCAGATCAGATCAGATGAAAGAATCTATCAATATCATTAATACTATTATCATTTTTACGCCTCAAATAAAGAGGAAATCCAGAAAATGTCAACAAAACACAAAGATTAAAGGACCAGTGTGTAAGATTTTAGTGACTCCACGGAGGGTGTATGAAGATAAAAACGGGTTGTATTAACGTAATTAAAATACAACAATTTGTATTTACACTAATAAAAATGATGGATTTAATAGACCCTCAGAAATGTTACACACTGGACCTTTAACATTAGGTGCTAAACACTATATAAAAACCTAAAACTGTAGCTAATCATCTCTGGCAATCCATCAGCAAACGAACTCTCCAGAAGTCAGACATCCGTCTCAGTTTGTGGAAGAAAAAAAAACCTGCTTCAACCAAACACGACACACACACAGAGACGAGTTGTCGCAGTGAGTCTGGGGACCACACGGATCCCAAAGGGGAACAGTTTGACACGTTTTCACACACTTAACCCCTCGTTCTCACTGCGGTTTAATTTTATTGAGGCAGGGCTGGCGTGGAGGTAAACATACAGACAATATAAATTAAACTTTAATCTCATTTATTGTACCATCCAATAAAGACTGAGCCCTAGATTGAGCTGGACATCACAAATCAGAAGCTCTAAATGTGTTGAACACACAGGTTGTTAGCTGTAATGGCTAACAGCTACGTGCAGATCCTTTTGATGTGAAGCAGAAGCGCTCGTTGTTATGTTTTTGTTTGCTTCTGTATCACTGTAATCGGAGCAGGTGAAACTGACTATTAAACCGGGGCGTCACATCTCTGCATAAACACTGGTTAGTCACAACACGGTGACTCCACCACTCTGGCATTGATCCGCCTATAAACACATGTGTTCGTCATTTGTCAGGCACGCAGGGAAGGAGGGAGGGAGGGAGGGCCCCTTCTGCTTCACCCACAGATGAGTGCGAGCTTCCAGGAAGTTATCTGTTATAAGTCAGCGAGGCGAGAGGCGAGAGGCATTCTGCTGCTTCCTAATGTAAATATGAAGCGTTTCTGGTCCTGACCTCAAATCTTAATAAAAAAACACAGAGCGGCAGAGGCGGAGCGAGTGGGTCAGACAGTAAAAACAAGATCTTATCTCATGAGGAC